TATTTTATTGACGTAACCCCCCTCCTCAATTTTATTTTTAAGGTAGGGGGATGTAGGGGGGGATTATGAACCGCTGTTACAATCTTCTTTCAAGGACCATTTCATTTAATGTCCTAGGAACTTGCCCCAGCAGCAGCTGTCAGGCTTGAATTTGCATCACTTCCATCACAGAAGTCTGCAATGCCCCCTCAGGAGGCAGTGAGACCGACCGACTGACGTACGTCAGCCGAAGGCGCCTGGGCTAGGCCAGGCAGTCTGTCGCATGGCCCGTCCCAGAGGCGCATTCCTTGCAGCAGGTGTCAAACGGTTTGCCACTGCGCGTCACTCCCGGTGCCACCTTTCGGTGGCACTTCATCTTGCAATATCCCGCTTTGACCTGCTCGCGCCTCAGATCACAGCGCCCCATTCCAAATTCCAACCCTTGGCTGATGTTCCCATGTCCCCCAAAGCCCGTCGACAAAAATCTCGCTGAGGCGCCCTTCGTCGTCCACGCCGCAGAGATGGTCATGCAAGCCGGTGCCGATGGAACATCGATGGCAGCACCTCATGAACAATGCCGCTGAATCCGAGGGGTCGGTCGTGTTTGTTTCGGTATTCGGTACCCGTTGGGTTGGGTACCCACTTGCAGCCAAACAATTGAATTGCCAAGTCCAAAGGCCACAATGCCACAACATAGCTGTTGCTTGCCGGTACAGCTGATTGCCCACGCAGAACAAGACTGGTAAGTCAACTTGCGTTGTGGGAATGCCCAGCAGTGTCCTGCTTCCAGCCTCTCGGAAACTGGTGTGCAATGAGCCAACCGGCATGATTGCCCAAGAAGCCCACACGTGTCCCATATTCGCTCTCTGCCTGCGCGAAACCTGAAGCAAATCAGCCATTGAGACAACACCCCATTGGAAAGATCGTTCTTCAGGAAACTCTTTGACAACTATTGGAATGCCGAAAGCAGCAATGCGTTTCTTTGAATGTGACCAAACCTTTGTCCCTTGTCCAGTCTGTTGCAAGTCCTTTGATTGAGAGTGACTTTTCCTGTAGCCTTGCAGAACACTGGCATTCCCAAAGCATGGCACCCGCAAAGTGGGGTGATATTTGAGGAATTTCAGGAACCCCCGGATCTATGCGACCACTACTTGATCAGCCATTTGTCACTCCCGTCTTGGAACTACACGCATCAAGATTGCGCTGTTGACTGCCTCCGTCTATGACAGCAAGAAGCGCAACCTTTTCATATCATTTGTCAAAAAAGGCGCGCCCGCTTGAGACACGGGCTGACATTTGCCAGATTCCGCATGCTGTGTCACTTTTCCTTGTGATAAACATGGCTCCGGCAAGTCACATGTGCCAAACAGGTGGTCTGGGGAAACCACATTCCCCTCAACGGAATAAACGGAATAAACGGAAAGCATTTGTTGCCTCCTTTAAGCATCCAGCGTGGCAACTTCCTTGCCACTGGTTGCCGCTGGCCCATTCCGAGGGGCGTGGATGAGCCCTTGGCGGCAGTCCGGCCACAGCGCATCGCGCAACGCCCATCAGCAATCTGAGGCAACGCAACCGGGTAGTCCCATTGCGTTTCATTGCACATCCTGGGGTCCAAAATGGACCTTTTGGAGGCTTGAAGCTAGCGAAAGGAATGCCATGTAGGGGGGCCCTTTTGGAAATGCTATGAAATGCTCGCATAAAAAGGACTGCTGGACACGCATCTTACAATGAACCCTGCCCTCTGCTTCAAACAAGCTGCAAAAAGCTGCACATGAATACCTATGCTTTTCGCCAACATGTTCAAGCTTAATAGCAACACTAAAATAACCCCCATTGTTACTGATGGATGCTTTAAGAGCCTCAACCCAAAAAGGAAGAAAGCGGCCTCTCCCCCACAGCCTCTTACTTCGCATTCACATTTTTCATCACTTAATTGAGAATGTCGCAAAACAACTATTGAGCGGTCATGACTATTTCCCTTTAACAACAACTCAAATCAAACATGATGAACCACCAACAACCGACATGTGCAAATGTGAACAAGGATAAGTTGGGTGCCTATCTCGACCAATGCTAGCCACCAAACTGTTGTAAGTGCCGCTTACACAGTCACAACAACCGTAGAACATAGCAAGTCCGTGTGGGGAGTTTGCAGTTGCCGCTTTTCCAGATTCAAGATGCAGCGCCCCCTTCCCACCCAAAGGCTCTCCCCCGCGTGCAACACTGAGATACGGCGGCCTTCTCGTCCGTGCCACTGCAGCTCGCATCGTGGCCGAAACCCATCTCACAGCCTGGGTCCAGGGTTGGTTGAAAGGCCAGCGCAGCCTGGCTTGCCATGAAGGGAACCCCCAATTAGTCAAGTTTGAACACGTGACGGTGCACTGAAGGTCTGTGGGCTTTGCAGGTTTGTGGGAGGGAGCCCTGGAAGAGCCGCCTTCCTTGATTGCTAACCGTACTCCGCAAGAAGACGTGGTGGCGGCAACATCTTGCAAACGAAGACAAGGAACGGGCAAGGATCCCACCAATCGGACGCATGCTACGACAGACCACCAAGTGCGGCAGTCAAGTTTCTTCACGGAGGCTTGCCAAGGACACAGCTTGTGATACGTTCTACCCCTGCAGTGCCGCTCTCTTTATGGCGCAACTCTGATTGATATCCCGAAGCCGCATCGAAGTTCATTCAACTGCCTGGGTAGTCTGCTGGGGGGTAATCCTGGGGCGTTGCCGGCGTCGGATACGTAGCCCCAAGTGGCGCAGTTGAAGCAGGATATGTTGAGGCTGGAGTGGCTGGAGTTGTGGCTTGTGCTTAGGGGAGTCGGTTGTGTGGACGTTTAGTTAGGCTACCTGTCGGGTGGCAAACGCGATCAATCATCGCCAGTGGCTCGACATAAAGGATCGAATAAACGCAGGTAGATGCAACGCTCGCTTTCGGACTGCAACTAATCAGTGCTGGCAGCATGAAACGACATTGAGGGATCTTCATCTCGCTAAGACGGCAACTTTCGATCCCTTCCAATGGCGGGCCATACTCTTCTGTCCCGTCTCTAGGAACATAGGACTAGGCAGACCAAAGAAACCACAAATGCTTGCAAAAGTTCCCGCCTCGATTTCCAAAGCACACTCGAACTGAAGCAAAACGAAAACCATCCCAATGCTCCCCTTCACATTTCGGCTCAGCGATGTCCGATTTTCAAGGCCCCCTTGCCAGGGCCCCGCCTTTGCAACATGTCTCCAGCGGGAAGCCCAAGCCCGATTTGCCTGAGGCAAGTAAATTCCTAGAGAAAAGGGAGCGCAAATTACAACCCAACACGCACACACACACACACAGGCGCACACGCAGAAAATGCAAAAACTTGGGTGGGTGTCAGGAGTCCTTGTCGCACCAAGCTTTGAGTCACTGAGAGTCTACCGGCTTGGCCTGCGTGAAAAGCAATATCTGATCACCCCAAGTCCCCTAAAAAGTAAAAAGGATGGCTGTACTTCTCCAAACAGGCACCTCCAAATGGTGGGCGGGGTCCCAGTTGGTTACCCTTCTCAACACCCCCACCCCTCCCGAAAAACAAACGTGAGATTTGGAAGGGACCCCTGGAAACCATTTCCCACTAACGGGCGCCATGCTTGCTTTTGGGAGGGTCCCAGCTCTGACACGCACGCTGCTATGTATGGACAGAATAGGTGGTTTATCCCAGTATTCATAGCTGGGTTTCATCCATCCAAACTGGTGCAACATGTTGCTCTTGTCCATCCACAGTACCTCAGCTTCCCTCTAAGCGGTGGTTTGGAGGTTTGGGTTGGTGTTCGATTAACCCTCTACAAGTACCCGGGGTTCAAATCCCTGAATACTGCCCGTTTTTGCCTCTTTCTGCTTCCCGGCCTTTGGCTCTCGGACGACCGCAGCCCACCTTGCAAAGGCCCTCGGGCAACTTGTCCAAGGCGGCCGTACCTGCCGGTGCACTGAGAGCCTAGGAGTGCTCAGTTTTTATTCGCACTGCCGAGCATGCAAGCACGGATTTCAGCCGAATTTCCCAGCACGTCCGGTATGGCCCGGCATCTCTGTCGATGTAACATCCCAGCTATCAAAACGGTGGCCACTTTGGCAAAGCAAAACTCCTGAACATATAATCTCAGCTGCCTCTCTGCAATTTTGCTCTTCCTCCAAAGTTGGAAAGCTGGTTTTTCACCCAGCGACTGGGGAAGCTTGGCAACGAGCGACACGGGTACAAATCAGGCCGACACTTTTTGACACTCCGTCGAAGGCCTTTGCCCTCCAATGCTATCAGGCTCTGGTGGCCATATGAAAGCCGCTCAGGTGAGCAATGCCCAAAACCCTATGGGATTTTCTTGGTTGCCACAAGGCAATGGCTATATGGTGGATATATGGCCAAGGGTTGCCTCTTAGAATCCATTCAAAGCTCTTTCGCCGTCTCAATGGTTGCTTCTTCAGATTTACATATTACAAAAACCGTCCAAAGGGTCCAATTCGAGCGGGCCCCCGCCTGTTGTGCGAAACGCCCAATCTGGGCTTCGGGGAAAACACAACAACAACAAACACATGTCACCAACATGGCCAGCCAGCCGGGTTTTGGGCGCTGTGCAGGGCCATCGATTTGAAAGCTCGGTGCCCCAGCAAGGGACCCGAAAGCGTTAGAAGGGGATCAACCCAGTTGCAGCCTTTCAAGCCTTTCGGAGCACGGCGACCTACAGGGTGGGAAAATGGGGCTTTCTGATGAACCCATGAAGGCCAATCCCTTCACTGGACATCACTGGACACACACAGAACATATGCTTTCTCGAGCAATACAAACTACCGCAACCCCTGGTTTCACAGAACCCCTTCAAATGCATGGGGTCCCTTGCTCTCGTGAGATCTTCCCTGTAGCTGCGCACATGACGCACTGTACAGCTTGTACACCTGGGCGTTCCCAGGAACTAAAACGGCTTCCGCTCACCTCAAACCACCACACCTTCTGCCCTTGGTGGAAGCCGATAAAGGCCACTCCGCCACTCCGAATTCTTGGATTTCAGAAGCGCGTGAGGTCGCGCCCGAAGAGGCGGCTCTTGATCCAATCAAAAAGCACCAGCACGCGGTTTCGGAAACTCACCTGAGCGGCAAAGATCGGTGGCCCTGGCAGAAGGCGATCGGCCAACGATCCATCCACAGCTAAAAAACCCTGGGCTCAATGTTTGAGTATCGATGGCCCCCAACGGCATTGCATGTTGGTGAGGATTTAACCTCCATCTTCACCTGGTGTTCGGCAGCCGAAAAAAGGTGGCACCAAAAATGACGGGCATTCTGATCGCCAAGCAACATTATGGCTTTGGGGAAGCGCCTCCGACAAGCCCGGTTTCGCGATTTGACATCCTAAGGACAAGAGTTGGCCTAAAGACAAAAGTTGGGCTGGTTAGTGAGACACATTTTGGAACCTGACTGCGACATGCTCGAGGGCCATTCTCCTCTCTTGATTTCCATGCTTGTGGGTCGGGCAACTCAAAAGAGGCTAAGGTTGCAGGGTCATGTTTGCTTGGAGGGGAACCCTAAGGAGCCTGACCATGTTTTGGGTTTTCCCAATTTGGCGGATACCCAAATTGCCCCCGGCAAGCCAGCTCCATGTGAGCATCCATGGCTATGTTTAGCTTTTGCACTGTCACATTTTTCCCCTCAGGCCATTGCTTCCCCCAGCATTTTTCACCTCAGAACTCCGGGTCCTAATTTGCAAATGACATGAGACAATGATTGAGTCCCCCATGTCCCTCCCAAAATCAGACTAATTGTTCTTGACCAAACCTCAGGGGGCTTTTTGACCTTTCCTCGGCCTGCTTGACGATGTACACAGAGCGCCAGAGCACAAAGGCGGCTAGGCCTTTGGTCTCTGACACCGGCGTGGAGCCCAGCCCTAGCTCCGCCACCGCCTGCGACTGCCCCAGGTATGCCAACCTGGAGAGTGGAATTCTTTATCCCTGGTCGTCAGATAGTGAGCTGTCGAGGGTGTTTAAACATGTTAGGTTGGACACCGTAAGGTGGGTAGTCTCTTGCTTGGTTGCCACGTAGGGAACTTGTACACTTTTTAAACATGCTGAAGCAACTGAGCAATAGCTCAAACGCTTGGCAGGGTTCAACATGGAAACTATCATTACTTTCAGCTGTCCAAGCTGCAATTGCTTCAGTTCAGTTTCAACCGCCTGAAATTTCGCCAACGCCACCCCCCCTCCCCACCCAAGTCAATCATAAATAGCAACGTGCTCTGCGTCGGATTGACAATGCTCCTGGGCTCCTCCCTAACTTTTAGGTTCCCAAATCCGCACGTCAAGCCTGCAGCGACAAGAGGAAGTTAGAGGATCCCAGAAAGCATCTCTATCAGTGACTTTACTGAAGCGCGGAGCTGCGATGAATGACTGTCGCAGCCAGTTCTCCCGACCTGTTTGCCTCCAAACCAGGATGCCCTTTCTTCGGACCTGGTTTTTTTCCCAGCCGGCTACCCCATCCCCCGGGAAGAAAAGAAAAAAAGGCGGGAAGAGGAGCTTGTCAACCACGTAAAGACCACTTTACTCTGGCCAGGCTAGTTTTTTTTGCTCAAAGTATTGTAAGCAAGTGGGCCCCAACAAAATGGCCCTTCCCTAAATTATCTTCTGGTGGGCGCAAAGGAACAATGGAGGCACCGTATCCAAGGACCAGTCTCCTGTGGCTTTCCTCCCCAGAGCCTCGAGCCAAAGGAAAGAGCAACTGTCCCAAGCACGAGGACCTGCTCTTTGCATCAACTCTTCTCTGGCCTCCCCAAGTCAAGGAAGCGGAAGGGCGAGGCCTCCGGCCGCCTAGGCCAAATCAGTCAGTTTGCGGGGTGGTACCCCGCTTTTGGGGCAGGCCTGCCATTGCGCCCCTTCAGAACCAACACGCAACCACCAGAACATATGGGCTTATCTTTGTTTGCTTTGAGACTGTTCCCTTGAATAGGTGGCAAGGGTTTTTCCCTGCAATGTAGAACCCTCCAAACAAGGGTGGCCTCTCCTGTCACATTGCAAGTCAATGACGGTTGCACTGGTTGGTCGGATTGCCAATTTGAATTCCTCTTGCAATGGTTGGTATTTCCGACCCAAGTAGCATGACATGCTGTCATTCTGCAGCAAAAAATGGGATGGACATGGCCTAGGACCCATGCTTGCTGACAGCACTGGAATCTTTGGTCGCGCGGTTTTCTTGGGTTCCGCTGCGCAAGGTGCGTGCTCACTGGTGAGCCTTCACACATGGAGCTCGTTGAAAACCACCCTTTTTTCCCAAGGCCCCTCACTGCGCTCACGAATATCACGGCCCACACGGTCCACCGTTGAGGATGATGGACACTTGCAGAATCTACGTGGCTGAGGGGTGTGTGTGTGTGTGGAGAAAATGGTCGTGTTTGTGTCTGATCCCTTTTATGACACTGAAACGGGGCCCCCAAAGAACCACTTCGGAGCAACTCCTCCAAACCCGCGAGCTGGAGTTCCCAGACATTTTCCTGGCCCACAACTCGCCCCATTCTTTTACCATCAATGTCCGTCCCCGCCCCCCAAGCAGGTTGAAGGGACACAGCCCCAGCTTCTAATTCTGATGGGCGAGAACATGCGAGAACCCCCCCCAAAACGGACACAATCCAGCCAAATCCACCCGGACGGCGCAACATGCCAGGGCGCTTGGTGATATGTGCCAAATCGAACTTCTCCGAGCTCTCGAGGACTGGAACCGGCTGTGTCAGGTCGTACTGCCTCACAAAATACTCTCCAAGTTTGGCTCAAGTCCCACTGCAGAAAACGTGGGGATATCGGGATATGCCCTTCCATTTCTGGCTTCCCTTGTACTGAAGATGAAGGTTTCTTTATTGAGGAATAGGGGTTGTAATCAAATCAAGCTTTGAGGGTGTTCCTTCCCCTCCAAAGGTTCCAAATGGGATATATAAATGCACATAAAAACACCCAACAAGGGCCCTCGTATATTCAAACCGGGGAATACACGTTGCAACTCTGAAACACATGCAATGTCATAGTACATGACGCTCGTATTTGGTAAGTGGCACATGTGAAACACAACGCCATGCCGTCCCGAACCCGAAGCCCCCTGTGGCCGTGCCTGTTCAGCAGCCTTGCCACGAAGGCGCCCTGCTGCGCAGCCACTTGGGCCGTTTCTGGCAGGGGCTCCTTCAGAAACAAATCCAAGCGCGGGGGTGTTTGGAACACAAAAAAACAGGGGAAGTGGGTGAACTGACAAAGCTTCTCCTGTAGTTTCTGTCACTTCAAACTGCATAAGAGAAGGGGCAAAAGGATTAGATTGTGGACGTAGGGTACCCTCTTGGCGCATTGACCGCACTTTTACTCCTCATGTTCCATCCGGGCGCAGTCCCCGAGCGCCAGCACGGAGCCATCCGTGCCGCAAGCGCCTGGGGCGCTCCGTTTTGGGTACACCCAAAAAGCAGGGTGTCTCAAACTGTACTTGGGACAACCCTATTTGATAACCTGAGTAGGTGCATCATCCAGCTTGGTTCTAGTGCAGCTCCAAAAATGCTGCGCCGTATTCGGCCAAGGTCTGGTCATGCCTCTGGTCCACTTGTCCCCCCCGGTGCAAAACGATGACTTGTTCGCAACAACCCAACCAACAGAACGCCTTGCCCTATTGGCAGCTCAAGCACGCAGCCACTTGTCCACGAAGAGCTGGCGATCGCTACCCTTCGCCTCCGACTGGGCGAGCTCTTGCTGTTCTGGGATGGCTTGATGCATCTCCCGGACCAAGTCCTGTCCCGGAAAGCGCAGCGCACATTTCATGATGGACACCCTTTCAAGAAATGCGTCTTTCCGGGGCTCCCTGACCTGGTTAGGGGTTGCAAGGAAAAAGGGCGGAATCAGAGTTTCTGCCTCCTGGGAGTCTGTTTAGGTTGCCCTTTAATGTGGCCCCAGGACAATTAAGCCCCTGCTTCATTGGGGGCGCAACCTGTTTCAGAGGGGATCATTCGGAACGCCCCGCCCATCAATCGGACACATTGATTAATCCGAGGTTTACACTATATTGAGGACATAAAGGGAATGCAAAATACTCGCGCAAACTTCTCAATGACAAATCCCCGCAGATTAAACGCGAACGCACAAGAGCAACATTTCTAGAGATTCATGGTCCATTTCGGGTCGGCTCATGGGGGGCTCTCTAAAATACCTGCAAAAACCGTGAGGCCCTCCGGTTTACCATGTCCACAAATGGCGCAAGATCTTACAGCGCGCCATGGCTGGTTTGCAACCCCGTCCTGACCAATCTGCCCGGCGGCCCAAACAGTGAGACCGCAGGGTAGGGCCATCTTGCCATCCTCCTAAAGCCGCTAGCGCGAGATTGGGGCCAACTAGCTTCTCATTAAGCCCAATGTTTCTGGCAAGCCACGCTTGCTCAACACATGCTGCTTTAATGAAACCTTTGACGGCTTCCAAGGTTCCACATTTGCCAACCAGCTCTGTGGACTTTGGTGCTCTGACGCCCCATCTTTCCCAAGGATCCTTCTTGCCAGAAAACCCTCAACCACTCACCCATGCGAAACAGCTGCTGTTTGAGAGGGCATCTCTCGCTCCAATTGCCATGTTCCCCTAGTGTAACGAGCATATCTTGTCCGTATCCCTGAGACTGTCTCCTGAAGTCTTTCAACTCCACATCATGTTGAAACTGCCGCTCGTGAGTCATCTGGCCTTCTGTTTGCCCCTCCAAACCCGAAAGCCATAGGAAAACAGCCATTTGCTGAAAGTTTCAGGGTGCCAAGTAGTGGCTCGTAGCACCCTTGGCGAAAGAACACTGTTAGGGATGCTCTTGGCACGACCCAAATATCCCAGGCTGCTGCCGTATAGGCCACGGATTGATAATCTCGGCGCTGATGATATGGGGTGTTTCCTCCATAAGGCAAAGGGCCTGCTCTAAACTAGGAGCAGGGGCTGCTTATGGGTTGACGTTGGTGGCCATTGCCCTTCTCCTGGAGTGACACATGATCCACTCCGGGGTTATTCAGCACCCAAAGGTCCAAACGAGCCTCCATCCACTTGTGGGCTTCAAGGGGAAGTTTTAATTTGTTGGGTCGGTCCACGCAACAATAGCAACAACACGCAACCACAACAAAATCCACGATGAGGGAAGTCACCTGCTTCACAAAGGGATCCTCTAAATCAAATACTAAAGGCCATACCCCGACGAAGCCACGCCTTCTGGATGTGGACCTGCTCGGCATCCACCTGGGACACCGATGCGCTGGTCATCACCTCGATGCCCTGATTCTCCAAGGTCTCCCGGGCCGCAGTCTGCCTGACTTTCGCGAGGCGAATGTGCAGTCGGATTGTAAAAGGACCCCAAAGGCAGAACAACACTTTTCTATTGGCCTTCCGCTGGCACTTCGGGCCCGTTCGTGTTTTCAACCAAGAACAGGTCAACTGCGGGTTGAATTCCAGGTTTTCTGCCGCGCCCCCTGTCAGTTTCATTTGATTCCCAAAGCAGGTGTCTACTAAAGGGGTTCTTGCGGTAAGAGTAAAAGTCCAGGGTTAGATCTGGGTGCTCTCAGCTATCAGGGGTAGGCGTCTCTATGCCATGGGTGTGCAGCAGCACTTGAAAGCAGTGCAGGTTCGCAACTCCGAGGCTGAGTTTATCTCTCTCTTGCGCGATGGAGGGCGGTCATATCCACCAAGCGACCTCGCTTGGCTTTGGACTTGGCCCATATGTTCAGCGACACACCTCTTGCCTCATTGGCGGTCTGCGACCGTAATGGGGTAAGAAGAAACACGCTGACATAGAAAGTGAGCCCTCTGCGGACTTTAAATGGCTTGGACCTCTCTCGCTGTGAAGCGGTGCAAATTGCAGGCATCCAAGCACAGGACCTGCAAAGATACTTTGCAAGCAATCTTGTGCATCCTGGACAGAGACTCAGGAATCCTGGACAGCCACTCACGGAACCTCTTGCAGGATATCTTCTATGGAGCTTCAGAAGGCTTCTGTTCGCAGAGCAAGACCTTCTAGAGATCCTGTTTGCATCTTCTGCAGCTACTTTCATGTTACCTGCGTGGCTTCCTATCTCACTTTTTGACCACCGTTTGGGGTGGCTTGCTGGCACAATGTTGCTTTAGAACAACCAGAGAAAAAAACACGCCCATGCAAAAGTGTCAGCTACAAAGTGCAAAGAGCGTGCCGTGCTCCAAAGAAGCAAATCAAGATATGCTTAGGGTTGGCTGGGGGCGGGTTCAGGGCGGGTTCAAGGTTGATTTGGGGTTGGCTTAGGGTTGGTTTCGGGTTTGCTTAGGGTTTGGGGTTGGTTTTGTGTCCTAAGCAGGAGCATGTCGTTTTTTGCGGGTGCTCGCTTTGGGGTTCTTTGATGTGCCGGCCTCTCTTTTAGGGCTCCCGGTGAGAAACAACATGAGACAAACAAATCATGGATCGGGAAACAAGCCGAGAGGCAAATTCCCGGAGAAGGAGGGCAGCACCTGCTTCCCCCTGTGCAGCAGGATGATGCGCACCAGTGGAGCCAGGCGAGGGTAGAAGCGCCGCAAATCGTTCCTGTTGCTCGCAGGGGCGGTGGCAAGCAGCTGATTTTGTTTCAATAAACGGGAACTGAAAGGAGAATAGTTGCTTAAACATGTTTGAACGGAGAGTCGCTGGGCCCTTATAGCTGTTCGAAGCGCAGGATCAGCTAATTCTAGAACTTAAGGAGGTTTCCTCCAACGAGAACAATTGGCCAACGAGAACAATTGCCGAGATCTTGTGCTGTTAAATTGGTTGGGAATTCCTGGGTACAACAAGAAATATCTTGAGGGTGATTGGGATCTCACCTTGATTCACGAGCCGAGCCACCTGGGCTAATCCGCTCGCAAGTCCCAGCGACTTGACAAGATCCGTAGCCGCGGGCACCTTCTGAACAATCAGTTGGGTGACCCTAAATGAGGTTCCTGTGGGATGCCAAACGTGCGACTGTCCTTTGGCGCAAGATGTCTTCACATTCATTAGAAGCCGTCTGGTCTCGCCTCATTCAGGTTTTGTTTGAAAGAGGCCATAGCTATGTTGACTGAACCAACTTTGTCAATCCAACAATGGAGTTCACAGGGATAAGGCGGTGATAGTTTGTAGTGGATGTCTGGTGCAACGACTGCAGCGCTCCAATGCAACTAACTTGGATGCATCAAGAACTCCTTTCGCGGTGGCAGTTTGTGGGGTTGAAATTAAACCGCTGGATGTCAAACACGGGGTGTGAACAAAATTGGAAACGTTGGCCACTATGGATGACTTGGATCAATCCCTCAGGAGCAGGAATGACCTTCATCACGGATGAGCTCGTGCCACCTCCCGGCAAAAGTGGATGGCACTGGTAAATCATCGGAACAAAAGCGAAAGCAATGCCAGGGGGCAAACGCATCACACGCATTCTTCCCACATTATCATGAGGTAATCTGGTTTAATTCATGAGGTTGTAGCCTATTCTACTATTCTTCTATCATGAGGTACCCCTCAACCCAACGCTAGTCATTCAGGTCCTAGGATTTACTGGACGCCTCCGAACAGACCAAGCGTCAACAAAAGACGAGCCACTGAGCTTAGGGAGCTACAGGGGCCATGCGTTCAGGCGACTTCACGAAATCCGAGAGCTCCCCGCAGAACTCGCAGCCAGTAGGACCACCCCCAACCACCAGGAAGGTGAGGAGCCGCCTGCGCTCCTGCGGCACTCAAAGCAGGACCGTTCTTTTGTTTGCCTCCATTTCACCGCTTGTGGGGTCAGCAACATGGGGTCCCCCAAACAACACCTAGCGGGTCTAGGTTGGCATAACTAAGAATTGGGTCTGTCTCTCTCTCTCTCTCTCTCTCTTTCTCTCTCTCTCTCTCTGCTGTGCACCTTTCTGGGTTGGATGCCGTGCAAAGCGTGGCTTCCAACCAAGAAACTTTATGAATGGAATGAAGCGAGAACACTGCTCAATTTGTTTGCCACCGCTCACACGGGCTTCTGCATTTTTTTATTTGATGAAGCTGGAGGGGGTCTGAAAGGGAGCGGCCGTTCCAAACCCTGAAAGGCGGCATTGGGCGTCGGCTACCCTTTGGGCTTGATTGTTGTATGCAACATGTCTGCGCCGAGCACAGAGGCTCGTAAATCAATCATGATTCAAGGGAAACAGCCTCATCGCTGCATAGCCTTGAAAGCGCCATCTTGCAATACGTCCTCGTCCGTTTTGACAGGAAGGTCAGCCGCCTCGAAGTTCTGCGTGACCTGCTTCCTGATGCGCCGCGCATCCTCGATGTTCTTGAGAAAAAGGCAATTGGCATCCACGCCTGCAAAAGACTACAACCACAAGGGATGGTACAGACAGGTCCCGCATACGGTTTGGTTTTTTGGTCTCAGGTGAAATGGGATAAGTCACCAACCTGAACTGAAAATTGGGCAGAGGCCTTTTTGGATGAGGTTGCAAACTCCCCTTTGTGCGAGACTCGCACGTAACATGGGACGTGGCTTGCTTTCAGTCTCTCCAAGCATGAACAATGTTAAAGAAACAAAAGTCGCACCCGTGGGGCTTACGTGCTTGTAGGGACCGCTTAAAACTTCAAATTGTAAATCTCATATTGGCAGGCGTGGGTGTGCGTGGAGTCCTGGCGGGACCGACTCGGTCCAACAAAGCTATGCCTCAAAGAGGAAAGCAACAACTGGCCATGGATGTGCGCCTGCTACTAGTTTCTCTTGTCCTTCCCCTTTAAGGTCAACGTGTCGAGGGTAACTTTTCTGCGAGTGAAGCTTGGCTCTACACATTTGTGTGTGTGTGTGCTTAATTGTCTCTGTGTGTGTGTGCTCGAAATTGTGTGATCGGCACATGCTAATGTTTAAGGGATGGAAACAGCAACAACATTTAGTGATGACACAGGATTTTCGTACAGAAGCCAACATTTGCAGTGTTGGTGACAATAACATTGGATTGAATAACGTCAACCTGCATCAAGACTGGAGGCAACATGCACCATTGATTGGTGTACCGCCGGCATCAAATACTTACTGTTATTCAACAGGCGTAGGCTAAGGAATGGTTTTAATCTGTCTTCAGGCCGTCGTTTAGGACACGCTCACGCTGAAGCATCAAGAATAAAACATCCAACAACTCAACAACATATGTCTATGACAGTGGGAAACTCAGAAGCAAAGAACTGGAATACACGGATGACAGGTCAAAACCAACATGGATGCTTGCAATTGTTCAACGGGCTAGGTGCGTTCAAACATTCACAACGGCCAAACACACACACACACATTCTCTCTCTCTCTCACACACACACCTCATACAGTAGTTTAGCACATTTTCTTTCAAACAGGTGTGGATCAAAATCATGACATGCACATGTCCGCGTGTTTAGGGAGAGTGATCGCAAACTGGAGGCAACCGCGCGAACAAGGCGCAAGTGCTTTGCCTTGCCTGGAACTCCCAAAGAGCTGGGCCGCAGCCCTACTGCCACCACCAAAACCTCGATGCATATGGGAATCACAGTGCAAGCCTTTCTTCTCAGGGGCAGTCTACTTTAAATCTGTGTTCGGGAAGCGGCGTTTTGCACAAGGAAACTAAGGACAGTGGTGAGGTCCTTAGTTGCTCCTCCTCTCGCTCTCTCTCTCTCTCTCTCTCTCTCTCTCTCGTTAAAATCGGTGGTTACTTTGCTTACAAGTGCAAGTGCTGTAGTGTTCAAACAAACAGTCAACCAGTGTAGTCTGCAGCTGCCATGCGGAGTAGTAAGCTCAAGGCCTGCGGTAGTGAACATACATGCAACAAGAGTGCAAAGTGAAGCATGTAGTTTGACACGGCCCCTCAGTTAAAAGGTCTTTGTAGTACCTTTTCAACTGAAGTGCAAAACATGGATTGATAGTAGTGATGAAAACCATTGTTGTTCATCAATTCTACTGTATTGGCAAAAGTAGTGATCTGCGCTCAGTAGTTCACGCTGTTCAGGTTCCAGCTCGATGTAGGGCGCTGGACGGAAGTAGTGAGGCAGGCACTCGTTGTAGTAGAGCAGGAGCTCAAAAATGTAGTCCCCATTTCTGGGTGCGGTAGGCTTGGACCATCTGTAGTCGACTGTCCAAGGTCGCGTAGTAGTTGGTGGTGAAAAAGGTTGTCATGTAGTTTGGAGCTCCCCATAGTCGCTCATCATCAATCTCGGGACACGACATGTGTTGATCGTAGTCCCGTAGAAAGCGGTGTAGTAGTGCTTTGTGGTGTTGTGTGAGGTTGGTCATTGTGAGTAGTGTGAATCCGTAGTATTGGATGCTTTTGCAGAGGATTGTAGTGATTGCTTTGTGTTGGTAGTCGTGGAGTTGGTCTCTGTTGTAGAGGTAGTGGAGTAGTTCAGGTAGTAGTAGTGGCATGTGGAAATTCCAAACGTAGTTGTTCCTGAGGCTGTAGTTGTCAGTGAAGGTGGTCATGTTGTAGTTCACCTTGAAAATGGTCTGTGGCAGTGTTGTAGTCGGGAGGTAGTAGTTTTGCATCATGTAGGAGATGTAGTCCCTTGTGAAGTGTAGAAATTGTCCTGAAGTGAGGTACCTCAGGAGTAGTGGTTGTTCAATCTGGAGTTGGATGATGACGTAGTTGGTGTTGTCGCCAGTTGTAGTGTGGAGTGAAGTCGTGTGGTAGTAGTGGACGTTGGCTGCTTCAGGTAGTGAAATGCTGAGCAGTGTGGAATTGTAGTGTGGCATCCGAAGATCTCCAGGGATGCAGTGAATGGGTCGTTCGTGTGTAGTCCAGTTGTGCCAGTGGAGTAGCTTGTTGTTGTGAGAGTAGTTGATACTCTTCAAGTGTAAATGCAGTGAAAAATTGCGTGTAGGGAATGTTGTTGGCCAGTGGTGGTGCAGTGGTTGTCTGGTGCTCAGTGATGTGTAGTTGGTCCATCACTGTGGTCGGGTTGTAGTAGACTGTGTTGCCAGGTGTAGGATGGTTGAAGTGGTAGTTGGAGTCGTTGTAGGCTTGAGGTGGTAGAGTTCCATGGTCACTGGAGTCCGTAGTGACAGCCACCTCCGGTGTAGACGCCCTGTCGGGTGTAGTCGCATCTCCCATCGTAGCATCTGCAGTAGATGGAGCGGCCATGGCTGCAGTGGAGTGCGAATGTAGTGAAACGGGGCAAAAACAAAATGAGCCTGAGTAGTTGCTATCAGGCAGGCGGCGCATGCAGACATGTAACAAACAAACAACTGTAGTGTTGACTCAGCCGCCAAAAGTGCAAGTGCAAATGCATGTAGTTACTGTTACTTACATACCAAAGGTGTCGTGTTACATGTAGCTACTTACTTACATGAAATGTCCAAAGTCGTTGTTGTTGTTGTTGTTGTTGTTGTTGTTGTTGTTGTTGTTGTTGTTGTTGTTGTGAAACTGCTGCGCTGGTCGTTCGTAGTGCTAAATGCGTATTCCAATGCTCTGGATGAGCCTGTGTAGTGTTTCTTTGCTGATGTATTTGGTAAACAATTCTGCGCTGTTGTGGAGTGTGTTGATCTTAAGGATTCTGATGATGTCATGCTTGATGAGGTCTTGTGTGTAGAGAAATTTAAGGTCGATGTGTTTTGCTCGTTTGCTAGTGCCTTGTCGTGTAGCAATGCTCTTGCCTGCTGTGGAGTCTGTGTGGATGCGTAGATTTAGCTTGCTTCAAATGTTGGTTTCAAGTAGGAAGTTTCTGAGGTGTAGTCCCTCATTAACTCCTGTGCAAATGGCGTAGAGTTCAGACTCTGCTGAGCTGAGTGCTATTGTAGCTTGTGTTCTGCTGCCAAATGCAACTGTTGTTCCTAAAAAGATGATGTTGAAACCTGAAGTTGATTTCCTGGTAGTAGGGCATCCTGCCCAGTCGGCATCGACATGAATGTCGAGATCCAGGATGTTGTTGGTGTTTGCTCTGAGTGTTGTTGTTGGTTCTATGGTGAATTTGTAGTGCTTGGTGCCGTGCAAGTAGCGTAGTAGATGTTTGACTCTGTTTTGTGAAAGTTCTGTAGGTGCTGTGAGGTCTCGTGCTAGTTCTTTTGTGGAGTATGCAATGTCTGGTCGTGTGTATGCTAACCATCGAAGTTTGCCAACAATCCTTCTGTACCTTTTGTGTTGTTCGTGGTCAAGTAGCGCTTCATCTTCTATTGTTGGTTTGTAGTGTGCAATTCCTGGAGTGTTCACTGAGTTGCAGTTGTTCATTCCAGACTCCTCGATCATGTTGTCGATGTAGGAGTCCTTTAGTCCAAGATTGCAGTAGTTGCCGAAGTGGTCGATGTTTCTTCCAAGAGATTGTTGTGGTTTGCCAGGTTCGGGGTAGCCGATGTGCTTGAGTAGTACCTGCTTCTGGACGGCCTCGAAAGTGGAGTCGACTGCGGTCTTGTCTCCAAGTACTAGTAGATCGTCCACGTAGACCATGATGTAGCAGTCGCGAGTCGCATTGGTGTAGACGTTGGGTTCTGACTTTAGTCTTACAAAGCTGAGCTTTTGTAGAACTTCAGCCAGGTAGTCCTGCCATGCTTTCGGTGAACTGCGTAGTCCATACATGGCTTTCTTTAGTCGCCAGATCTTGTCTTGTTGTGGACAAAGTTCTTTAGGTGGCCAAAGGTAGACGTCACGTTGTTTACCGTCGTGGTCTTTTGCGATGGGTGCGTGTAGAAATGCTGTAGAGACGTCACCTAGTCGCGCGATCCAGTTTGGTCGTGACATTTGTAGTGCGAGAAGTGTCCGGAGTGTCGTGAACATTGGTATAGAGGCGTAGACGGAGTCTTCGTCCTCGATCTTCTCGGTGTAGCCTTTTGCGACGATTCGGCTTCGTACTCCTGGTCCTTTCTTTCTGTGTACCCATCTTGTAGGTATCGCTTCTCTGATGACGTTGTCGTTGACGGTAGACGCATCTACTTCGTCGTAGACGTCGTGTAGTTTCATTTGGTTTGACTCGTGTTTCATTCCTTCCAGTAGTTGTGTTTCGTCGTAACCTTCGTTGTCGAAGATCATGGGTTGGTCTTCTGAGGTGTCGTCGTTTGTGTAGGGAGTGATGGATTTTCCGTTGGGAAGTGTCACTGCGTTGATTTTCTGTCGTAGTGGTGGTGGTTCTTTGGTTGCTTGTTCCGTTGATCTGATTGTAGTGTCCTTTGAGGTCTTCTGTGCTTTGGTTGGTTGCATTACTTCTTCCGGAGTTAAACGTCGTAGTGTTTGTCGAGGTGGTGCTGGTAGTGGTGGATGTTGTCGTCCAGTTGGTGAAGTAGCCATAGGACTATCCGGTAGTGGTCGTGAACTTGACGTCGATGTTGACGGAAGTCGTGGAGGTGGTGTAGTGCGTTGTTGTTTTGTTGCGGG